TTTCTTTTTTTTTTTTTTTTTAAATATTTATTTATTTATTATGTATACAATGTTCTGTCTGTGTGTATGCCTGCAGGCCAGAAGAGGGCACCAGACCTCATTACAGATGGTTGTGAGCCACCATGTGGTTGCTGGGAATTGAACTCAGGACCTCTGGAAGAGCAGACAATGCTCTTAACCGCTGAGCCATCTCTCCAGCCCCTCAGCCTGCTTTCTTATAGAACCCAGAGCCAGCAGTCTAGGGATGACACCACCCACCATGGGCGGGGCCTCCCAATTGAGAAAATGCCTTACAGCCGGATTTCATGGAAGCAGTTCCTCAACTGAGGATCCCTCTTCTCTGATGACTTTAGCTTGTGACAAGTTTGACACATAAAACCAGCTAGCAGGCTGCAAGTTTGAAACCTGCAGGGAGGTGGGCAAATGGGAGACCCAAAGCAGATCTGCAGATAGACTCCTCTCTGCCTTGCGGACTGCAGTCTCTCTCTTTTTTTTTTTTTTTTTTTTTTGCGAGATCTCACCACCCATTCCAGGGAGAACCATCTACCTACATCTGAACCTTCTAGGCAACATCAAGGCTAATGTCTGACCAAACCACTGGACAGTGAGCCTCAGCCAGGCTGATAGACAGCAGAAACCACCGTAGGAGATCACTGAGAAGAGGAGTGAGGGCTTGGATGGTCCCCATTTGGGGGTGGACTCCCTCTTCTCCCTTCCCCCATCCCCCTCGCCCTTCTTCTCCTGCAGTCCCTCCTCCCCTCCCCTCCAGCTTCCGGATGAGTCAGTGTGTGGACAGAGTAGAACATTCACGTTAGGAGCTGTGACGTCTTTGCTGCCTCCTCCCTGCAGTCAAGGCTGTAAACTCGGTGCAATTCCCAGGAACAGTGTCTTGTCCAGGTAAACACTGCAGGGTGTGGGGCTGGCAGAAGAAGGTCTAGGATGCCTGGGACCCTGACCATTGTTGGTTTCAGTTCTGGTTTAACTAAAGGACTGGGAAGGCGACCTGCCCAGCAGGGCCCACCTGTGACTGGGTGGGGTGGTCATCCTCACCTCCGACACCACATCCTTGTCACAGACAATGACACTGCCCAGCAACTTCCTCTAACTTAAGGACTGGGAAGGCAGCCTGCCCAGCAGGGCCCACCTGTGACTGGGTGGGGCGGTCATTCTCACCTTGGTCACCACATCCTTGTAGACAATGACATTGCCCAGCAACTTCCTCAAAGTATTGACGTCTTCTCTCCTTCATCACAGTCTTTCATGTCCTGTGGAAAAGCTACAAGGAGGTGGGGTAAGGGCCTCTGGGGCCAAGAGCGGGAAAGTGAGCTTCAAGGCCCATGGCAGCGCCCATTAAGACCTCAGCACTCGGTGTGGTCTCAGGATCTGTCTCCACGTGTGTTGGCCTCTGTGTGGCCACTCATCGCTTTCCAGTTCACGCTTGTCTTGTTGCAGAACCTTGGCCCCCTACGTAGGCCGTCCTGGTCCTCATCCTCTGAAACATGATTAATAAAAACTCAGAGAGAAAGAGAGAGAGATTGAGGTTCAACCTGAAGATCCGAACAGCAAACCAGCCAAGCCATTAGCCACCTTGATCTCAGTCTGAAATGGCGATCTTGCCTCCAGGAATCTCAGAATGAGACTGTGTCTGAGAGCTGTCTCCTCCTGTTTTATAATCTTCTCTAGAACTGAGATTAAAGGCATGCACCACTAGGATTAAAGGCATGCACCACCCAGTTTCTATGGCAACTAGTGTGGCTACTGGGATTAAAGGTATGTGTTACCACTGCCTGGTCTGTAAGGCTGACCAGTGGGGCTGTTTTACTCTCTGATCTTCAGGCAAGCATTATTAAAATACAAATGAAATGCCACTACAATCCTTACTACCAGAGTTGGTAGCTGAAAAGCAGGTGATGAAGCCATTTGAACTTGACAGAAACCTCACTGCCATTTGCCCTTACGTCAGTTCCCTAAACTACTAGGGTTATGGCTTGACCACTGGGCCCAGCCATACGCTGGGCTGTCAAAGCTCACAAAAATCACTTGAGATTCTGCATTGGACCGAGAGATCTGTTAGCGTCAGGTCACTCAGCTTGGGGTCATCACCGCTGTTCCATCCAATGGGAACACGATGTTGACCTTTCTCTACCCAGGATGATTCCAGTTTCTCCACCCAGGGAGGACCTACTTCCTCCATCCAGGGAGGACTTGGGCCCAGATTCTCAGAGCGCAGCCAGATGTCTGTGCTGGGCATCATGCGTCTGGTCCCAATTCCTCTGACTCCCTCCATAGCAGAGAGAGCATGGCATGGAAAAGCACAAGTTCTTGGGGCCTGGTCCATCCTTGGGTTTCCCCAGGGCATGGTGCCAGCCTGAGGGGCCCACATAGGGAAGTCAAACAATGGATTCCTTGGCCCAGCTGGCTCTAGTTCCATAATCCCTATTTCTTGGGCTTAGGCTATACTCAGGTTCTCCCACGTGCCTGAGCTATAGTGGGGAGGACGGAACAGAGCTAGAGCGATGGGCACAGCGAGATGGGGAGAGTGGCTTCCACCGGTGCTCTGGCTGGTGGTCGCTATCTTTGATGTCTCTGTAGAGGGACCCTTTTCAGACTCCAGCTGGGATGCCGTGGAGGTCCCAGCGGCCTAAGTGGGTGGTGTTGTAGAACAGGTGCTGTTGCTAGCAGTTTCTCTAGCCCGGGATGTGGCTTCTGTGCAGTAGCCTAGGAAAGTAGATGCCATCGTCATTTAGGGGATCTGTGACCACTGATACCTTTTCCTCCCTCCCTCACCTCTGGAACTTTGTGACTGAACTGGAGCCAGGGGTACCTTGTGACCAAATTCACTGCGTGTATTCTAGCCAAAGTCAGGACCTATCCTTGTTTTCAGGAAGAGGAAAATATGGAGGAGGGGCTTTCCTAGGTCTCAGTTTATGCTCCAGCTACAGCATGGGTGGCTGCCTGTGCCTCTCCAGCTTGGTGTGAACCTTGGGAACCGGTGTCTCCCATAGGCTCATGTTGGCTGCATCCTGATTTCCGGAGGCATCGCCAGACATTGGAGAGGCAGCTGCAGCTTTGGGTTAAGCTCAGGGGACTGAGGATCAGCAGGGTCACTGCTCCTTTGGAGGCAGGATCACATTCTTGGAGTAACAGCTGTGACTGGGAAACAAGACAGGCTTCCTGGGCTTCCCCAACCCCCATGTCCTTAGGAGAAGTGTTAGCCTCAGGAGACCGCAGCGACAGGACCTGCTGGGGTAGGGGGTGGCTAACCTCTCTGCTCAGACCCCATTCTCACAAAGTGGCCACTTCAGGCTACTTCCTCTTGCACCAGGGGACATGATTCCAATAAGAGTTGTTGCCTGGGCTGAGGGCTGCCCAAGTTCTAATTACATTTAATTCCAGAGACTGGCAGCGCCTGGGAAAACAAGGGGATTAGAGAGCCGACTTAGCTGGGCTCTGAAGAGTGCAGCAGGCTCCACGGAGACAGGTGCCCCCCCCCCCCCAGGGCCCCCACTGCTCCTCCTTGCCTTGTGGGGTTGGATCACAGACTGGAGTCAGACAACCCCCTCCGGAGTCTTGATTCCTGCCACACTTGTCTCCCCCAGGGGACACGAACTGAGGTGCCTCAGCAGTCCTGGTGTCTCAGCCCATAGGGCTCCTGGAGAAATAGAATGGAGACATTGGCAGACACCTGGAAGCTCCTTATTCTACCTGGGCTGTGTTGGAGGTTGCTGGGCCAGACCTGGGGGGCACTTAGAGGGGGATGGCAGAGCTCATGGGATGTAATGCCAGCAGGGACCTCCCGCCTCTCCAAACCTGAGATTGGCCTGGCTTGTAACTTAAAGGGATGGAGTTCACCTGGGGTGTGTGCTGGCATTGGGATAATTGAGGCTGCGACATCCTGAGGAAGGCCAAGTTTACCCAGGGAGTCATATAAAGATAAACTCAGATAACCTGAATCAATATTTCCTCACTGGGACCCATGGAGCCCCCACAGCTGTTTTCCTGATAACTCGGCAAATGCCCCACCCACCCTTTGCACCTCCCTTGTCCTCCCGCCCTCAGATGCCTGCTAGGCATATAAGTCCTGGACCCCTGCCCTGGGATGCTCTCCTGTGCCACCCTCCTGAGCCTCCATGGGGCTGCCACTAGCTCGCCTGGTGGCTGTGTGCCTAGTCCTGGCCTTAGCCAGGGGCTCGGAGCTCCAGAAAGGTAAGGGGCTGCATGATCTGGGCAAGGGAGTGGGCAGAGCACCCTGAGGGTGGGGAGGCTGGGAAGCCCAAAGCAGTTAGTAAGGGGTGCCTGGAATAAGAGGGGGTTCCCAGTCAGAGCCACTCCAGTTGGACTGGGGTCTTAGGTCTCTCGAAGGCTGAGGGTCCTACACCAAGAGGATGAGAAGCTGGATTCCCCAAGTGCCCATTGTCCGTAGGAGTGGGGAAGCTTTGGATGTCTAGGAGAAGCCAAGTTTAGGACAGTTCCAGATATAAGGGACCTTTGGCAAGACAGTGCCTCTGGAGAATGGGCTGAGTGTCCACATGGAAAACTTCTGTCCCATCAGGACAAAGCTGTGGGTGGGGGATGTCCCAGTGGGGACCCCTGAAGACTGAGGAACCAAGCCCAATCTCTTGCTGGGTGAGGGGTAGATGGAGCGGGGCTCAGTAGAGCATCAGAGGAGGGGACTGGGCAGTAGGTGTGCGGAGTGACCACATTGCCCAAAGGCCCCTTTGCGTTCACTCCCTGCTTGCGCGCCACACTAGGTAGTACCTTGTCTTGGAGTCCTGCAGAAGGCTGACCAATAGTTAGCAGAGACTGCTTATGTAGGGGTACCATCTTATCCAGAAACCCTGATCTGGAGCCCCAGATGGGTACCCCTGGGGGGAACCTCCGGGGTTAACTTGGAGAATGGGCTCAGGGAAGTCCTCCTCAGACCTGGGTGTCTCACCTTGTGTCTTCATGGTTCTCCCAGAAATCATATCCCGAAACCATGTCTGCAGCACCTGGGGCAACTTCCACTACAAAACCTTTGATGGCGATGTCTTCCGATTCCCTGGCCTCTGTGATTACAACTTTGCCTCTGATTGCCGAGACTCCTACAAGGAATTTGCTGTCCATCTGAAGCGGGGCTCGGGCCAGGCTGGGGGTCACCCCCAGATAGAGTCCGTCATCATTACCATTAAGGATGACACCATCTACCTCACCCACAAGCTGGCAGTGGTGAACGGGGCCATGTGAGTGGGATTAGTATCTGTCTCCCATGTCCCAGAAGCCAGGGGATGCTTCTGGCTCCTCAGAGCAAGTTCTCCCCTGAACGTTTTGTATAAACGAGCCAGTCTCCAGGATACCCTCTTCTGTTCTGGCACATGGCTAATAGGGATGCTTTGAGGTTTGAGCTAGGCTGTGAATTCACTCACCAAACACTGATGAGTCCCCTCTGTAGACTGGGGGGTCTTAGGTAACCTGTGAGTCCCTTGCAGGCTTCCCCTGGGGGGCTGTGCGGAAGGAAGCCTGCTCCCCAGGCTAAAGTTGCAGAAGCCCAGAAGGGAAAGGCTGCTCTACCAGCCCTATTGTTCCCTGGCTTTGTCTCAGTAACAATGAGGTCCTCTTAAATGCATTCCTGTCTTGCAGGTTCACCTCCCTGGGGATTTGCTCTTTTCCCACTCTGAGCCTTTCTGTGTCTTGCACGGGGGCTCTGCCAGTGTTCCCTTACTTTGCCTGGTCTGCTGGACCATGTTGTCATGTGTGGGTTGTATAGCAGAGGTCCCTAGGGATAGAGGCTCAGGGGTTGAGGCGTGGCAGTTCCAGGCCAGCTCAGCAGGGGAATGGGGTCCTGGAATAAGAACAACTCTGGGTAAAGGTCTGGGAAGGGGTTGAGAGTTCTATCCTGCCAGATTTTGTGAGAAAAATACCTCTGAACCAAGGGCCTGAGAGGGTTGGGGGCTCAGTCCCCAACATATCCCAGACCCACTGCCTTTGGGGCTCCTGAGAAGGGCCTCTGTCCTGGACTCTGAGAGGGGTATGGGAAGGAAAATAGGCAGAAGGGCCTGACCATGCCCCAAGGAAATCACCCAGGACAAGGGCTCTCTGGCCATTGCTGAGGCCTCTGCCCAGCTCTGGCCTCCTCCTGGAGCTTGGCTAGGTCTGCTTGTGCTCCAGATGAGAACACACTGACCAAGTAAGGAGGCAGGCTGGGTTGTCTTCATCCAGATAATGTCCTCAACGCCATGTGGTCAGCAGAACCCTCGGGAGGACGAGTGGGTGGGTTCTGGGATGGTAGGATGGTGAGTAACCCCATAGTGGTCCCCACAGGGTCAGCACCCCACACTACAGCTCCGGGCTCCTCATTGAGAAGAACGATGCATACACCAAAGTCTACTCCCGTGCTGGTCTCTCCCTCATGTGGAACCGGGAAGATGCACTCATGGTGGGCACCAGCATCCTGGGCTCTGAGGTGGCGGGGCTCCTCTCTCTGGCCAGAGGCCTAGTAGCTCCATAGCAGGGCAGGATTGGGGGACCCATGCCTCACAATTGGCGTAGGATCCTATGTGGTGGAGCAGGCTACTGGAGACAGTGATTGGTACCAGAGTCTCCATTGGTCTGGCCTGGGAGGGGCTCTCTGTGCTATAGGTGCAGTGACTGGTCTCTGTCTCTCAGAGGCTGCATTTTGGTACCCCAACCTGAAGGACCCTTCCTGGTGGCTGATCCCTGCCCTCCTCCTGACCTGCCCTGTTGGAGAAGCTGCTTAGACCTAGGGACTCTGGAAGCTGTGCTGGGCCCTGAGGTCTGCTCACCTGCCCTGCTTTCCTTTTCAACAGCTAGAACTAGACAGCCGGTTCCAGAACCACACCTGTGGTCTCTGCGGGGACTTCAATGGCATACAGACCTATTATGAGTTCCTCAAAGAAGGTGAGTGCTAAACTGGGCTTGTTGAGAGGAAGACAGGGGTGAGGCTGCAGGCTCCCGGCTCCCAAGGAGCTAACCACCTGCATCCATAGGCATACACTACAGTGCCATTGAATTTGGGAACATGCAGAAGATCAACACGCCTGAGGATGAGTGCCAGGACCCGGAGGTGGTGCAAGAGCCAGAGTCTTGCTCTGAGCATGTGAGTCGCTGCTGGGAAACTCAGGCTCTTAGGAAGTCTGTACCTGCTGGCCTGTGTTGGGGGCTTCCTATGCTCTAAGGGGAGGGGAGGAGGGGTACGAACAGGGGTGTGAAGCTGTCCACGTTTGTGTCCTTCTCTTCAGCGAGCCGAGTGTGAGAGGCTGCTGACCTCCACAGCCTTCGAGGACTGCCAGGCCCGGGTGCCCGTGGAGTTGTATGTGCGCGCCTGCATGCAGGACCGTTGCGCGTGTCCTCAGGATGGTGCCTGCGAGTGCAGCACCCTTGCCGAGTTCTCCCGCCAGTGCTCCCACGCAGGCGGCCGACCTGAGAACTGGAGGACTGCCTCACTCTGCCGTAAGTAGCTGGTGACCCATGGGGTGCTTGGGGGGCCTCTCACATGGTGCTCTGTGTGAGTATCCCTGGGTTTAAGGAGCCCCCGGTGGGAGCCATGTCTGTGCCAAGCACCCAGACCCTGTCTGCCAGTGGCCTTGGCACTGTGTTAGTGCCATATCTGTGGGTTGATGGAGCTGACTTTGCTTCTAGCCAAGAAATGCCCTGGTAACATGGTATACCTGGAGAGCAGCTCGCCCTGCATAGACACCTGCTCACATCTGGAGGTCAGCAGTTTGTGTGAGGAACACTACATGGATGGCTGCTTCTGCCCAGAAGGTACATGCTCTGGAAGACTCTTGTCCCAGAGACTGGGTCGGGGAGCAGGCAGGGAGGGGTGGGACCCTCCAAAGAACCCTAAGGGCTGGGAGGCCAGCCTCTGCATCGACAGAACAGGGTCCTGATGTCTGTGGGTGGAGATCTGGCTGGTAGCCTCTCCTTTTGGGGAAACTGGCACTTCCTGAGGCTTCCACGGTAAGTTTACATCTCTGGCTACCACAGGCACTGTGTACGATGACATCACGGGCAGGGGCTGCGTCCCTGTGAGCCAGTGCCACTGCAAGCTGCATGGGCACCTCTATCGGCCAGGCCAGGATATTACCAATAACTGTGAGACCTGGTAAGTATCAGAGCATAGGGCCTGGGGTCAGGCAGGCTGGGGTGTCACTGAGTCTTGACTCTGTGCCCTGCTTCTGGGCAGTGTCTGCAAGGCTGGTCGCTGGGAGTGTCAAGAACGGAATTGCTCTCAGACCTGTGCCCTAGAAGGTGGCTCCCACATCACCAGCTTTGATGGAAAAACGTTTACCTTTCACGGGGACTGCTACTATGTCTTGACCAAGGTAGGCAGGCCAGGCTACCTGGATGGAGCTGGGGGCCCTCTGTCCTCTGGGGAGGGAGGAGAGACCGGTTCTGGAGAAGGCCATCCCTGGGGTGGTGGGTGCTGCTGCTCTTAGAAACAGGATGAAAAGTGGGGGGGTCTAGGGCACAGGAGGCGCTCGGATCCTCAGTAAGCACAGCATCCTTCTGCATACAGGGCCAGCAGGATGACTCCTATGCCCTCCTGGGTGAGCTGGCCCCCTGTGGCTCCACAGACAAGCAGACCTGCCTGAAAACTGTCCTGCTACTGACTGACAACAAGAAGAACGTAAGCGCTCCTCCTCTCTCCCTTCCCAGCATGCCTGGGTCCTACATGCAAGCACTCTCGGCTCTATGCAACCGTGGCATTTCTTGCAGGTGGTGGCCTTCAAATCAGGTGGCAGTGTGTTACTCAATGACCTGGAGGTGACCCTGCCCCATGTGGCAGGTGAGTGGCTCAGGGAGGGGGTCCTGAGCTGCTGCCAGTCAAAAGAGCCAGCTGGGACTGGGATAGCCTAGGGGCCTGGGCCTCCGGCAGGCTCTATCTTTGGGCCCCTGCTGGTGGTGGGGGAATGGGATGGTGGGCATGCCACTCAACAGTCACGTGGAACCCAGGAGCCCTGCTATCTTTCAACGTGTTCTTGTTTTGCAGCAAGCTTCTCCATCTTTCAACCCTCTTCCTACCACATTGTTGTGAACACGGCGTTCGGGCTGCGGCTACAGGTTCAACTGGTCCCAATCATGCAGCTTTTTGTGACTCTGGACCAGTCTGCCAAGGGACAGGTGCAGGGTGAGTGGTCCCTTTTGTATTGCCCCTGAAAAAGCCCCATGAGGGTCCTGTACTGCTCGCGCCCGCATCCAGTTCTTCCTAATTCGGTGCTGCATCTTTAGGTCTCTGTGGAAACTTCAACGGCAATGAATATGATGACTTCATGACGTCTGGCGGGCTGGTGGAGGCCACGGGTGCCGGCTTCGCCAACACCTGGAAGGCCCAGTCAAGCTGCCATGACAAGTTAGACTGGCTAGATGACCCCTGTTCCCTCAACATTGAGAGTGGTAAGGCTCAGGGCAAGTTGGTCACTGTCCACTGGCTTGTCTAGGACACAGAGTCCTGGCCAGTACCGCCTCAGAGCAGATGGGGGACCTAGTATGTGGGCAGAAGGGTGGGTAGAGGTTGCATAGTCCATGTTGCTGGTGACCAGCACATCTACCTGCTGTTTGGCTAGTTTACAGTGGCCCCATGGTGGCAGCTTTCCAAGCGACCAAGTAGACGGGCTGGTCAGGCTAACTGCTGGTGGCGGCTCTCATCCAGGCCTGGCTTAATGCTAGGACAATATGCCCTCCTACCCACTTCTCGATCATATCTGAAGACTTCTAGCCCCCGGGGTTGAGAAAGGGAGGACGTGGGTGTTATACAAAATGGTCTCATCGGCTGGGCGGTGGTGGCGCACGCCTTTAATCCCAGCACTTGGGAGGCAGAGGCAGGCGGATCTCTGTGAGTTCGAGACCAGCCTGGTCTACAAGAGCTAGTTCCAGGACAGGCTCCAAAACCACAGAGAAACCCTGTCTCGAAAAACCAAAAAAAAATTGCTTTTCTTTGTCTTTAAATTGTACCTTGTAANAAAAACCAAAAAAAAAAAAAAAAAAAAAAAAAAAAAAAGACCAAAAAAACAAAACCGTCTCATCTTGCTCACAGCTGCCTGGAATTACGATGGGAGGGAGGGAGGGATCTGACTTTGGTCACACAGGATACTGTGTCACCTCCATCCTGGGTGATCAGACTTTTAGGCTCAGAGTATGTGAGGGGAGCCTGGTTGTGCTGAGGTTCTGATCTACTCCCCAGCCAATTATGCTGAGCACTGGTGTTCCCTACTGAAGAAGTCAGAGACCCCTTTTGCCAGGTGCCACCTGACTGTGGACCCCACTGACTACTACAAGGTGAGCTCATCCCCCAACCCTACATACTCAATGCTGCCGGCAGTGTCCCCACAGCCAACAAAGTGTGCTCGGGCCACCTGGCTGAGCCTGTGAGTGGCTGTGTGCGTGTGTGTATGTGTGTGTGTGTGTCTGTCTGTCTGAGTGCTGGCGTGCATGCACATGAGTGTTCACTGGAGTGCTCAGGGTTCCAGGACCGTGTGCCTGGCTTCCTCACCTCACTGTTACTTTGGTTTGTCTCCCAGAGGTGCAAATACGACACGTGCAACTGTCAGAACAATGAGGACTGCATGTGCGCAGCTCTGTCTTCCTATGCCCACGCCTGTGCTGCCAAGGGGGTCATGCTGTGGGGCTGGCGGGAGCGCGTCTGCAGTGAGTGCTTCCCTGCTGGCTGCTCCCTAGGATGGGGTCCAGACATGGAACTCCATAGGCTGGGGGCCAGGACCCCTGAGCAGTCAGTCCAGGGAAAGGGGCAGCTCCTTGTAGCTGTCACCTAGCTTTTGCCCGACCTTTAGGCTCTGTGTGCAGCGTGGGAGCAGAATTTTGCAGAGATGGATTTTGGGATGGCCACAGCTGTGGAAGCTGAGTTCAGCAGCCTGGGAGGGGTTCCCAGGGTGGCTGGCCTCTGTCTGCAGGTGGAGGGAGAAGCTCAGGGACAGCCAATAGGGATAGTAGTTGGAGTCCAGTGCCATTGGCCTCACTCTCATGGTTTCCCCTGCAGACAAAGATGTGCATGCTTGCCCCAGCTCACAGATCTTCCTGTACAACCTGACCACTTGCCAGCAGACCTGCCGCTCCCTCTCAGAGGGTGACGCTCACTGCCTCAAGGGATTTGCCCCTGTGGAAGGCTGTGGCTGCCCTGACAATACCTTCATGGATGAGAAAGGCCGCTGTGTGCCCTTGGCTAAGTGCTCCTGCTACCACTACGGACTTTACCTGGAGGCAGGAGAAGTGATCCTGAGGCAAGGGGCGCGCTGGTGAGTATCCTGGACTCTGCAAGGGGCCCATAGAGTCAGGGAGGGGACGCTCTTCAATCTCTGCCCCAAGGGGAAAAATGGGGGTGGGGGAGGTTCTACCTGTGGGGCCTGAGGCTCTCAAATGGTGCAGGGGTGCCAGAGGTGAGATTCTGAAAGTGGCCTGGCTGGCATATGTCCGTGTAGGGGACAGACTTGAGTCCCATGAACCCTGTTCCACTTCTCTCTCATAGCATTTGCCGGAACGGGAGGCTGCAATGCACCCAGGTCAAATTGCTTGGCCACAGTAAGTTTTACAGAAGTTGTTCATGTATGGCTACCAGTCTGAGTCTTGTTTCCCCTCCCTACTTACCTGGTACCCTGAATTCATCTGAGCTAAGACGGACTTCTTAACCCCACAGCCTGTAAGCACCCCAAAATCCTTGTGGATTGCAACAACTTGACTGCTCTGGCCACCCGGGAACCCCGCCCCACTAGCTGCCAGACACTGGTGGCTGGCTATGTGAGTGCCAGGGAGGGCTGGTTGGGGGCATTCTGGATGCCTGAGTCCATTGTGTGGACTAAACAGACTCCCACGCTGCCAGTTCACTGGGCTGGGGCCTGAGTCTCACAAACACCTGGGTCTATTGGTACTCCCTGTGACCCTGGAAGAGCAGGGGCGGCCTAAGGCAGTGCAGAGGTCAGCCTAGGGGCCTTGAACAGCAACCCTACCTGGTCTCTCTGACCAGGATAAGGGAAGGGTTTTAGGAGAGAGGAGGAGAAGTTGGGGGTCCAGGACACTGTTAGATCTTCTTGTGTGGGCACTCGATTCCTCAAGGAAGGGTTGGCCCTCATCTCAGCTCTTCTTCTTATTCCAGTACCATACAGAGTGTGTCAGCGGATGTGTGTGTCCCGATGGGGAACTGGACGATGGCCAAGGTGGCTGTGTGAAGGAGGAGGAGTGTCCTTGCTTCCACAACAAAGACCTATACAAACCTGGGGCCCAGATCAAACTGGACTGTAACAACACCTGGTGAGTTGGCCCAGTCAGCCTGCATTGGAGGGGTAAGGCTGGTTTTTTGGGGGGATACTTGCTCTGTTAACAGAGCAAGTCTTTGGTCTACCCCTCACCCTAGAGGTCACTCTTAGGCCGGTATAGGTGCTTGCAGGTTTCCTATATGGACGGCCTCAGGAGCTGGTGCCATGGTGCCCAGGGCCTTACCTAAGCTGCTCTCCGAGGGCATGTGGGCGTCTTGGCCTCAGGCCCCTTCAGGCTCCTCTACCTTTCTCCGCAGTACTTGCCAGAAAGGACGCTGGGAGTGCACCCGCTATGCATGCCACAGCACCTGCTCCATCTATGGGAGCGGCCACTACATCACCTTCGATGGGAAGCACTATGACTTTGATGGACACTGCTCCTATGTGGCTGTCCAGGTGCGATTGTGAACCTCTCCAGGAAGGGGTCTGCCCTGAGATATGGAAGAAGGTCCTTGGGGTGGGAAGGGCTAGTTCCTCACCCTGGAACTCTTGCTGCCAGGATTTGGGCTCCCAGCAATGAATAGAGAGGGTGTGGTAAACCTCTCTCCTCCATGAGATGGGGATGTATGGGGATGGGGAGTGTTGAGAAAGCCTAATCTCTTCTCCTTCCTCTCTCCTCTCTCTCTCTCTCTCTCTCTCTCTCTCTCTCTCTCTCTCTTTCTCTGGACAGGCTCAGGGATTATCTCTTCTGCTCTCTCTCTCTGTCTCTGTCTCTCTGTCTCTGTAACAGGCCCAGCTATTATCTCTTCTGCTCTCTCTCTCTCTCTCTCTCTCTCTCTCTCTCTCTCTCTCTCTCTCTCTGTGTGTGTGTGTGTGACAGGCCCAGCTATTATCTCTTCTGCCCTTTGTATGGCATCATCATCCCCCGACAACGAAAGACCTGGCTGGATGGGGTTTGAGTTAGGGCCTTGAATCCCAGATGGGGAAAGGCAGAGCATTTTCTACTCAGAGGGATGGCTTTAGCATCTAGGGTAGGCATCTGTGTCCTGGTTTTCTTGGCTAACACTGTCTTGTCGGGACCCAGGACTACTGTGGCCAGAACTCTACTGGCTCCTTCAGCATTATCACCGAGAATGTCCCCTGTGGCACCACAGGCGTTACCTGCTCCAAGGCCATAAAGATATTTATAGGGGTGAGTGCTGCTGGTTCCTGGGACAGGGGATCCCGTGGGAAGGCTTGGACTCAGTCAGTGACCATCCTTTTCTTTGGATAGGGGACAGAGCTGAAGCTGATGGATAAACATCGTGTGGTACGGCACTTGGGAAATAGGCACCATGTGCCCTACATCACACGGAAAGTGGGCCTGTACCTGGTAGTGGAGGCCAGCCCTGGTATTATCGTTATCTGGGACAAGAGGACCACCATCTTCATCAAACTGGCTCCTTCTTACAAGGTGGGCCACCAAGATGCTAGCCATGTCCTGGGCTGTCACCAGCATAGATGCTATGGATGCTGTTCTCACCTACTTCAAGAACTGCTCAAGCTGGAGACTCTTGTCTTTCCACCTACAGGGCACTGTATGCGGTCTGTGTGGGAACTTTGATGACCAGACCAAGAATGACTTCACCACTCGGGACCACATGGTGGTGACCAGTGAGCTGGACTTTGGAAATAGCTGGAAGGAAGCTTCCACGTGCCCAGATGTGAACCACACCCCAGACCCCTGTGCCCTAAATCCACACCGTCGCTCCTGGGCAGAGAAGCAGTGCAGCATTATCAAAAGTGATGTATTCAAAGGGTGCCACAGCAAGGTAGGCGGAGCTGAAGGCATGGGCAGGGCCACAGCAAGGTAGGCGGAGCTGAAGGCATGGGCAGGGCCACAGCAAGGTAGGCACTGCTGCAGGCATGGGAGGGTCACGAGTGTGGGCAGGGGCACAGGTGTGGGTGGATTGTGACCATGGGCAAAGGGCTCTGTAGGCAGAGCCCCACTAGAGGCATATTGTGGTTGTGATCAGGGCCATGGTTGGGGCCACTGAAAGAGATTAATGAGCTTGACTGTGTCCACGAGAAGGGTGTGGCCTATTAGTCTTGCTTTGTTTGTCTTTTGAGCTCCTGGCCTCTCCAAGTAGTCTAAGGATACTTGGAGGCATGTTGCTGTACCACCATGGGGTATTCTTCAATTCTGTACACTTGGTTCTTTGAGTCAGTAATTAGATGATCAACCTTTCTCTCTGAGATCCTGGGCAGACTCCGCCCTCCTCGCCCTGACTGCATGCTCATCAGGGAGGGAGAGAAATGATTTATTTTGTTTGAGCCTAGAAGATAGCAGGGGGAGAGACAGTTTTAGGATTATCATCTTAAGGCACTCAGGGGATGGGTGACAGATCTGTCAATCAGGATGGCCTGAATGTGGGTGTGTCCCTGTCTATCAGCTACTCTGGGGCTGTGGGCCAGCTTCAGTGTCCTGTGGTCCAGGCTCTCTAAGGGTAGTGCGGGCCTAACACACATGGATGTCTCCCTCCTAGGTGGATCCCACGGTCTTCTATGAGGCCTGTGTGCACGACTCCTGCTCCTGCGACACGGGTGGTGACTGTGAGTGTTTCTGCTCCGCTGTGGCCTCCTATGCTCAAGAATGCACCAAGGCAGAGGCCTGCGTGTTCTGGAGGAGGCCGGACCTATGCCGTGAGTATCCAGCTTCCTTCCCCATTCAAGTGATGACTGAATGTCACCCACCTCATCCTTGTCCCCAGACATCCTTTCTGGGGGCATAGTGAGACTTGTGTTGGTAGGATGCTCTGGCATTCACGTCCCCTGATGCAGGCTCACTTGGGTACCCACTTGTGTGCTCCCAAGCCGGACCATGTTCCGTCCTCTCTCCCTCTAGCTGTATTCTGTGATTACTACAACCTCCCAAATGAGTGTACATGGCACTATGAACCGTGTGGGAACCGCAGCTTTGAGACCTGCAGGACCATCAACGGCATCCACTCCAACATCTCTGTGTACTACCTGGAGGGTGAGCAGACAGGGCCCTTCAGCGAGGTGGCCACCAAGGGGTAGGCCTCTGTCAGGCTGGGGGCTGCCATTAGCTGGAGACACTCAGGGTTGTTTGAGAGGTGCCCACGGGCTAAGAGGCTTGGCTCAGGTACTAAGGTTCATTTCACTACAGTCTGTTCACTGAACTGGAGCCATGGAAGCCAGCTAAGGCCCCGACTCCTGAAGAGGTGGCGGAGGAGCACACTACCTCATGGGTGTGTGTGGAGCAGAATACCCTAGTGTCAGGGGAGACACAAACCCTGTCTTCTGACTCTTGGTCTTCATACATGAACATCTCTAAGCAAAACGCCAGATGGGGTGGGGTTGATGAGGAAGGTTTGGACCAGGGGCACCATCCACGGTGGTCTAAGCCCCATTTCCTATACCCCCACTAGGTTGCTACCCTCGGTGCCCTGAGGACAAGCCAATATATGATGAGGACAATATGAGCTGTGTCACTGAGGACAAGTGTGGCTGCTATGTTGATGGCATTCACTATCCACCCAATTCACCAATTCCCACTAAGGATATCTGCGAGTCTTGGTACTGAGCCTACATTGCATAGGGCCTGGGAAAGGTTGGCACACACATGTATACACACACACACACACACACACACACACACACCCCATGTTCAGACACATGGAAATACGGTCACGCCGGTCAGGTGTATGCAAGCACACATACATGGCTCATAGCCACACACACACTCATTCACAGCCCATTCAATGTGCATACATACATGGACACAACCACATACAGTTGCACACCCAGTCACACTTGTACACATATGGTCAAAGGAGCTAGGGTACAGAGGTGCTAGTTCCTGTCCTTAGGAGTATGCAGGTCTTTTGATCTCACCCCATTCTCTTGGGCCAGCTTTTTCTTAGCTTGTTTCACCTCATCTGACTGGTTACATTTAGAGCCCTATGGGTGGGGTTCCTTTGTGGCTTGTGGTTGGGGCAGTACTCTGGAGCTTTGGGCCAGCACACAGGGAGATGGGCATGTGGTGTCTGTGGGCAGAAGGGTATGGGGAAGACCTGTAGCGTCTATACTTGCTTTGCAGTATGTGCAACAACACTTCAAAAGTCAACTGCAGTCTAGATGTAGGTAAGTTGCCCTCTGCTGGGATCCTGGAGGTAGAGGGTTAGTGGTCCCAACCCAGGAAGCCTATGACTGTGCTGTTCTTATACCCATGGGACCTGGGCTTGGGTAGGGTTTGGTTTCCTCCTGGGTTCTCTTTCTTGGTTGCCCACGTCCTTTCCAGCTTCAACGTGCTGAGCTGTGCAGCAAGCCTGAAGCTCCCCCTTCACATCTTTGTTTCCTTTCTCTAATGGGAGTGGTACCCTATGGGGAATTTCTAGTGCACCTCTCATCTGGGTGCTGGGCTCATTGCCTCTGGGTTCCAGTGAGGCTCCTTCTTCAAAGTAAGAGGTTCTGGGGATGCAGTCCTGCTGGAATGGAGGATTTATCCATCACATGGGATAAATTGGGGAAGCCTTGAAAGGCTGTCTTTCTTGTTAAACTGATGACCCCGTACCCTCTGTACAGGAAAGGTTGTTAACGAGACCCAGCATGATGTCTTCTGCTACTGGGAGATCTGCGACTCCAATGGAACAATAAAACCACACTTCAATATATGTGGATCCTCCCTGGCACCCCCAACCACCTTGACAAGCTTCACCACAATCTCTACCCCTATTACCATCTCCATCACCACTACAACAACTGCCACTTCCACTACCTCCACTGCCACCCCCACAGTCACGATAACTCCTGAAGGTGAGGCTTATTCTGGGGGCTTTTATTCTCTTGAGAATCCGGCATGGATTCTTTATCTTCTGGGGTCCAGAGCCAAATCTGTGTATGCAGCCTCCATTCAGCAAATCAACTGCGAATTTAGGTGGTATCGACATTTTTCTGAACTCAGGGGATGCTAGAGGATATCCTTACATTCCTCTGCATTTGTTCCAGTTCAAACCATTTCTATTATGGGTAAGCTGTCAGGGGTATGACAGACACAGGGAAGAACACCTGTAAATTTGAGGGCCTCGACTGGGCTTGGGCTCAGTTGGCAAAGCACTTGCTTCCCAAGCACGAGGACATGGGTTTGATCCCTGGAGTGCATGTAAAAATGCCAGGCAAGTGGGTGCACATTTGTAATCGCACTGTTGGGGTCACGGAGACAACAGAATTCTTAGGGCTCACTGGCAAGCCAAGACAACTATATTGTCAAGTTCCAGGCCAATGGGCGACCTTGTCTGAAAGGAAGGAGATTACATTCTTGAGGATGACACTGGGGATTGTCCTCTGGGCTCTACACTCACATACACATGTTCACGCACATTTGTAAACACACACACACACGCACACAAACATGCACACACACAAATGTACACATACATACAATGCAGGCTGGGCACACTTATAGCCAGCACTTGGGAGGCAGAAGCAGGATGATTGCCATGAGTTTGAGGCCTATGGTCTATGTTGAGAGTTTCAGACTTAAACTGTGCAGTGATATCCTCCCCTTTTTCTTGACTGAAGTTCCATCAGCAGCTCCTGGTAAGTAGGGCCAAGAAGGGAAAATATTTCCAAATCCCTTCTGGACTTCCTTCAGAAGCAGAAGCGAGGGCAGGCTGCACTTACCTGCTGTGGATTATGGGTGTATTTACCCACTGTTTGCCAAATCTATAGACACAGAGGTGGGACCTGACCTGTGTGGGTGACCACGTTCTTGGTCAGGAATAGACAGAGTTCCTTTCACACTCTTCCTTAGGAATGGTTCTCTTGTTAGTCTTTTTCTTTCACACAACATTGTCAAGGAAGGGTTACTGAGTTGGGGCTCTAAGACAGGCCTTGGGTGGCCCTGTCTCTCTGGACCACAGTCTTTCAGCTGCATGAAGGTGGAAATATGTCTGTTGTGAAATACGACCCTATAAACACGGTCCCTTGGTGATGATGGGTGGGCAAGTGTGTCTGTGGGGCATCTGCAGAGGTCACCGGAGACTCGATCCCATAGCCTCCCTCAGGCATGAATAACCTATATGTAATTTTGCTTTTCTAGTATGCTGCTGGACTGATTGGATCAACAACAACCATCCTAGCGCTGGCAGTAATGGTGGTGAGCGAGAGACCTTCGACAGCATCTGTAGTGCTCCTGTGGACATTGAGTGCAGGTCAGCCACAGACCCCACACTCAGCTGGCAGGATCTGGAGCAGAAGGTACAGTGTAATGTCTCATTTGGGCTCATTTGCAATAACGAAGACCAGTATGGAAACGGACTATTTGAACTTTGTTATGACTATGAGATACGAGTCAAGTGTTGCTCTCCAGAGGTGAACTGTTCTATTTCAACCGCCTCATCCACAGCTTCACCAACAATCTCACCTAGAACTTCACCAACAGCCTCACCTACCACTTCACCAACAGCCTCATCTACCACTTCACCAACAACTCCACCTACCACTTCAACAGTTTCACCAACTACTCCAGCTACCACATCACCAACAAGCTTGCCTACCACTACACCAACCATTTCACCAACCACTACACCAACCATTTCATCTAGTGCTACACCAGTGACTTCATTTACCACTTCACAGACATCTTCACCAACCACCTCTGTTACAACTTCACCAACCCCTTCACTAGGCACCTCAACTGCCACATCACCAAGCACCTCACCTACCATTTCATCAACCTTGTCTACTCTGTCCTCCTCCTCCTCCTCCACCACCACCACCACCACCACCACCACCACCACCACCACCACCACCACCACCACCACCACCACCGCCACCACCACCCCATGCATTGAAAACATTGAAGAGTGCGAGTGGACTGGCTGGACGGATTCTGGCAAACCTAAAAATGATAAAAACAGTGGAGATTTTGAACCGATTGGAGATGCCTGTAAAACAGGTTGGGAAGTAGCTGACATCTCCTGCAGAGCTGTGATGTATAACGACAAAACACTTGAACAGCTAGGACAGATTGTCACTTGTAACACAGAAGTTGGGCTAGTATGTAAAAATTCAGATCAGAAATTAGGAGGGTATATCCCAATGCCTGTGTGTGTCAACTATGAGATCAATGTTAAGTGCTGTGAGTGCTGTAAGCCAGAATGCTCCGAGACGACACCACTTTCAACCACTACTATAGTGACTACTATCCCAACATCTACCAGCACAAAGACCCCAACACCAAACTCTACTACCACACAGACCACAACACCGACACCCAGATATACCACTACAGAGACAAGCCCAACACCAAGTACCACAGTGACTCAAACCCAAACATCTACCACAACAGAGATATCAACCATAGAAAGATCGACTCCATCATTTACCACCACTCAGACATCGAGCCCCACACCCACTACAACAATGACTTCAACCGTGTCAACAACCACCCCAGTAATGTCAACTCCATTATGGAATACAACAGAGACCACAACACCCACCCCTAGTCCAAATACCTCCATGCCAACATCTACCATCACAGAAACACCAAGTTCAAAACCGACCACACAAGGGACTCCAACCCCAATAACTCCCACCCCAGAAACCTCAAGTCCAATATCTTCTACCACACAGATCACAACAACAACCACTAGTCTAGGTACCTCAACTCCAACATCTACAACCATAGAGACACCAACACCAACTACCTTAGTGACTCCAACCCCAAAACCTAGCAGCCCAGAAACCCCAACTCAATTATCTACAACCACACAGACCTCAACAACAACACCTATTTCAGGAACAGTCCCTACAACAGCGACCACAACAAAGACACCAACCCCAACCCCAACCACAACAGTGACCAAAACCCCAATACTTATGACCACAGAAACATCAACTCCAATATCTACTACCACACAGATCACAACACCAACACCTAGTCAAGGTACCTCCACTTCAACAACTACGCACACAGAGACACCAACCCCAACTGAGAGAACCACACTGACTCCAAACACAACACCTACAATCATAGAAACCTCTACTCCAACATCTACATCTACACACACTACAGGAACAACCACTAGTCTAGGTACCTCAACTATAACATCTACCACCAGGAAGACACCAACCCCAACCGAGACCACCATAGTGACTTCAACCCCAAAAACTAGCAGTCCAGAAACCCCAACACCAATATCTACTACCACACAGACCATATCACCAACACCAAGTCAAGGTACCTTCAGTCCAACATCTACTCCAACAGAGACACCAACCCGAACTCTGACTACCACTGAGACTCCCAACCCAACACCTACCATCATAGAAACCTTGACTCCAACATCTACTTCTATACAAACCACAACAACAACATCTAGTCTGGGTACGTCCACTCGAACATCTACCACCACAGAGACACCAACCCCAACCCCAACAACCATAGTGACTTCAACCCCAAAACCTAGCAGCTCAGAAATCTCAACTCCAATATCTAGTACCATACATACCACAACAACAACACATAGTCAAAGTACCTCCACTCCAACATCTATTCCCACAGAGACACCAACCCCAACTCTGACTACCACAGTAACTCACACACAAACACCAACCATCATAAAAACCTCTACTCCAACATCTACTTCTACACAAACCATAACAACAACCACAGGTGTAGGTACGTCCACTCCGACATCTACTCCCACAGAGACACCAACCCCAACCTCGACCCCTATAGTGAGTTCAACGCCAACATCTAGCAGCCCAGAAACCCCAACTCCAAAATCAATTACCACACAGACCACAGCACCAACACATAGTGAAGGTACGTCCACTTCAACATCCACAACCACAGAGACACCAACGCCAAATCTGACTACCACAGTGACACCCAACCGAACACCTACCACCATGGAAACCTCTACTCCAACATCTACTTCAATACAAACCACAAAAACAATAACTAGTCTAGGGACCTCCACTCTAACATCTACACCCACACAGACACCAACCCCAAATCTTACTACCACAGTAACTCGAACCCCAACACCTACCATCATAGAAACCACTACTCCAACATCTACTTTTACACAAACCACAACAGCAACCACTAGTCTAGGAACGTCCACTCCAACACCTACTCCCACGGAGACACCAACCCCAACCCCGACCACCATACTGATTTCAACCCCAAAACTTAGCAGCCCAGAAACCTCAACTCCAATATCTACTACCACACATACCACAACACCAACACCAAGTGAAGGTACCTCCACTCCAACATCTACTCCCACAGAGACACCAACCCCAACTCTGACTACCACAGTAACTCACACCCCAACACCTACCATCATAGAAACCTCTACTCCAACATCTACTTCTACACAAACCACAACAACAACCACTAGTGTAGGTACGTCCACTCCAACATCTACCACCACAGAGACACCAACCCCAACCCAGACCACCATAGTGACTTCAACACCAAAAACTAGCAGCCCAGAAACCCCAACACCAATATCTACTACCACACAGACCACAACACCAACACGAAGTCAAGGCACCTCCACTCCAACATCTACTCCCAAAGAGACACCAACCCGAACTCTGACTACCACTGAGACTCCCAACCCAACACCTACCATCATAGAAACTTCTAGTCCAACATCTACTTCTACACAAACCACAATCACAACCACTAGTGTAGGTACGTCCACTCCAACATCTACCACCACAGAGACACCAACCCCAACCCAGACCACCATAGTGACTTCAACCCCAAAACCAGGCAGCCCAGAAACCTCAACTCCAATATCTACTTCCACACAGACCACTAAACCAACACTTAGTCAAGGTACCTCCACTCCAACATATACACCCACAGAGACACCAACCCCAAATCTGACTACCACAGTAACTCAAACTCCAACACCTACCATCATAGAAACCACTACTCCAACATCTACTTCTACACAAACCACAACAGCAACCACTAGTCTAGGGCCCTCCACTCCAACATCTACTCCCACAGAGACAGCAACCCCAAATCTGACTACCACAGTAACTTCCAACCCAACACCTATCATCATAGAAACCTCTACTCCAACATCTACTTCTACACAAACCACAACAGCAACCACTAGTGTAGGCACGTCCACTCCAACATCTACCACCACAGAGACACCGACCCCAAATCTGACTAGCACAGTAACTGAAACCCCAACACCTACCATCATAGAAACCTCTACTTCAACATCTACTTCTACACAAACCACAACAACCACTAGTCTAGGGACCTCCACTCCAACAACTACACCCACAGAGACACCAACCCCAACTCTGACTACAACAGTAACTCAAACCCCAACACCTACCATCATAAAAACCTCTACTCCAACATCTACTTCTACACAAACCACAACAACAACCACTAGTGTAGGTAAGTCCACTCCAACAACAACCACCACAGTGACACCGACCCCAACCCCAACCACCATAGTGATTTCAACATCAAAACCTAGTAGCCCAGAAACCTCAACTCCAATATCTACTACCACACAGATCACTTCACCAACACTTAGTCAAGGTACCTCCACCCCAACATCTACACCCACAGAGACACCAACCCCCAACCTGACTACCACAGTAACTCAAACGCCAACCCCTAACATCATAGAAAGTGCTACTTCAAAATCTACTTCTACACAAACCACAACAGCAACCACTAGTCTAGGTACGTCCACTCCAACATCTCTTCCCACAGAGACACCAACCCCAAATCTGACTACCACAGTGATTCCCAACAAAACACCTACCATCATAGGAACCCCTACTCCAACATCTACTGCTACACAAACCACAACAACAACCACTAGTCTAGGTCCCTCCACTCCAACATCTACTCCCACAGAGACACCAACCGCAACTCTGACTACCACAGTAACTCACACACCAACACCTAACATCATAGAATCCACTACTCCAACATCTACTTCTGCACAAACCAAAACAGCAACCACTAGTGTAGGTACGTCCACTCCAACATCTACCTCCAGAAAGACACCAACGCCAACACCGACCATCATAGTGACTTCAACCATAAAACCTAGCAGCCCAGAAACCTCAACTCCAATATCTACTACAACACAGACCACTACACCAACACTTAGTCAAGGTACCTCCACTCCAATATCTACACCCACAGAGACACCAACCCCAAATCTGACTACCACAGTAACTCAAACCCCAACACCTACCATCATAGAAACCACTACTCCAACATCTACTTCTACACAAACCACAACAGCAACCAGTAGCCTAGGTACATCCACGCCAACATCTACTCCCACAGAGATACCAACCCATAATCTGAGTACCACAGTAACTCCCAACCCAACACCTACCATCATAGAAACTTTTACTACAACATCTACTTCTACACAAACCACAACAACAACCACAAGTCTAGGGACCTCGAGTCCAACATCTCCCACGATAGAGACACCAACCCCAACACTAACTACCACAGTAACTCACACACCAACACCTATCATCATAGAAACCTCTACTCCAAAATCTACTTCTACACAAACTGCAACAACAACCACTAGTATAGGTACGTCCACTCCAACATCTACAACCACAGAGACACCAACCCCAACAACGACAACCATAGTGACTTCAACCCCAAAACCTAGCAGCCCAGAAACCTCAACTCCAATATATACTGCCACACATACTACAACACCAACACCAAGTGAAGGTATCTCCACTCCAACATCTACTTCCACAGAGACACCAACCCCAACTCTGACTACCACAGTAACTCACACACCAACACCTACCATCATAGAAACCTCTACTCCAACATCTACTTCTACACAAACTACAACAACAACCACTAGTGTAGGTACGTCCACTCAAACATCTACCACCACAGAGACACCAACCCCAACCCCGACCACAATAGTGACTTCAACTCCAAAAACTAGCAGCCCAGAAACCCCAACACCAATATCTACTACCACACAGACCACTACACCAACACTTAGTCAACGTACCTCCACTGCAATAACTACACCCACAGAGACACCAACCCCAAATCTGCCTACCACAGTAACTCAAACCCCAACACCTACCATCATAGAAACCACTACTCCAACATCTACTTCTACACAAACCACAACAGCAACCACAAGTCTAGGGCCCTCCACTCCAACATCTACTCCCACAGAGACACCAACCCCAAATCTGACTACCACAGTAACTTCCAACCCAACACCCAGCATCATAGAAACCTCTACTCCAACATCTACTTTTACACAAACCACTACAACAACCACTAGTCTAGGTCCCTCCACTCCAACATCTACTCCCACAGAGACACCAACCCCAAATCTAACTACGACAGTAACTCACACACCAACACCTATCATCATAGAAACCACTGCTCCAACATCTACTTCTACACATACCACAACAGCAACCACTAGTCTAGGCACGTCCACTCCAACATCTACTCCCACAGAGACACCAACCCCAAATCTGACTACCACAGTAACTTCCAACTCAACACCTACCATCATAGAAACCTCTACTCCAACATCTACTTTTACACAAACCACTACAACAACCACTAGTCTAGGTCCCTCCACTCCAACATCTACTCCCACAGAGACACCAACCCCAAATCTAACTACGACAGTAACTCACACACCAACACCTATCATCATAGAAACCACTGCTCCAACATCTACTTCTACACATACCACAACAGCAACCACTAGTCTAGGCACGTCCACTCCAACATCTACTCCCACAGAGACACCAACCCCAAATCTGACTACCACAGTAACTTCCAACTCAACACCTACCATCATAGAAACCTCTACTCCAACATCTACTTTTACACAAACCACAACAGCAACCACTAGTCTAGGGCCCTCCACTCCAACATCTACTCCCACAGAGACACCATCCCCAACTCTAACTACCACAGTAACTCACACACCAACACCTATCATCATAGAAACCTCTACTCCAAAATCTACTTCTACACAAACCGCAACAACAACCACTAGTATAGGTACGTCTACTCCAACATCTACCACCACAGAGACACCAACCACAACCCCGACAACCATAGTGACTTCAACCCCAAAACCTAGCAGCCCAGAAACCTCAACTACAATATCTTCTACAACACAGACCACTACACCAACACTTAGTCAAGGTACCTCCACTCCAATATCTACACTCACAGAGACACCAACCCCAAATCTGACTACCACAGTAACTCAAACCCAAACACCTACCATCATAGAAACCACTACTCCAACATCTACTACACAAACCACAACAGCAACCACTAGTCTAGGCACGTCCACTCCAACATCTACTCCCACAGAGACACCAACCCCAAATCTGACTACCACAGTAACTTCCAACCCAACACCTACCATCATAGAAACCTCTACCCCAACATCTACTTTTACACAAACCACTACAACAACCACTAGTCTTTGGCCTTCCACTCCAACATCTACTGCCACAGAGACACCAACCCCAACTCTAACTACCGCAGTAACTCACACACCAACAACTATCATCATAGAAACCTCTACTCCAACATCTACTTCTACACAAACCGCAACAACAACCACTAGTGTAGGTACGTCCACTCCAACATCTACCACCACAGAGACACCAACCACAACCCCGACAACCATAGTGACTTCAACCCCAAAATCTAGCAGCCCAGAAACCTCAACTCAAATATCTTCTACAACACAGACCACTACACCAACACTTAGTCAAGGTACCTCCACTCCAATATCTACACCCACAGAGACACCAACTCCAAATCTGACTACCACAATAACTCAAACCCCAACACCTACCATCATAGAAACCACTACTCCAACATCTACTTCTACACAAACCACAATAGCAACCACTAGTCTAGGCACGTCCACTCCAACATCTACTCCCACAGAGACACCAACCCCAAATCTGACTACCACAGTAACTTCCAACCCAACACCTACCATCATAGAAACCTCTACTCCAACATCTACTTTTACACAAACCACAACAACAACCACTAGTCTAGGGCCCTCCACTCCAACATCTACTCCCACAGAGACACCAACCCCAACTCTGACTACCACAGTAACTTCCAACCCAACACCTACCATCATAGAAACCTCTACTCCAACATCTACTTTTACACAAACCACAACAACAACTACTAGTCTAGGGCCCTCCACTCCAACATCTACTCCCACAGAGACACCAACCCCAACACTAACTACCACAGTAACTCACACACCAACACCTATCATCATAGAAACATCTACTCCAACATCTACTTCTGCACAAACCACAACAACAACCACTAGTATAGGTACGTCCACTCCAACATCTACCACCACAGAGACAGCAACCCCAACCCCGACTACCATAGTGACTTCAACCCCAAAACCGGGCAGCTCAGAAACCTCAACTCCAATATCTTCTACAACACAGACCACTACACCAACACTTAGTCAACGTACCTCCACTCCAATATATACACCCACAGAGAAACCAACCCCAAATCTGACTACCACAATAACTCAAACCCCAACACCCACCATCATAGAAACCACTACTCCAACGTCTACTTCTACACAAACCACAATAGCAACCACTAGTCTAGGCACGTCCACTCCAACATCTACTCCCACAGAGACACCAACCCCAAATCTGACTACCACAGTAACTTCCAACCCAACACCTACCATCATAGAAACCTCTACCCCAACATCTACTTTTACACAAACCACTACAACAACCACTAGTCTTTGGCCTTCCACTCCAACATCTACTGCCACAGAGACACCAACCCCAACTCTAACTACCGCAGTAACTCACACACCAACAACTATCATCATAGAAACCTCTACTCCAACATCTACTTCTACACAAACCGCAACAACAACCACTAGTGTAGGTACGTCCACTCCAACATCTACCACCACAGAGACACCAACCACAACCCCGACAACCATAGTGACTTCAACCCCAAAATCTAGCAGCCCAGAAACCTCAACTCAAATATCTTCTACAACACAGACCACTACACCAACACTTAGTCAAGGTACCTCCACTCCAATATCTACACCCACAGAGACACCAACTCCAAATCTGACTACCACAATAACTCAAACCCCAACACCTACCATCATAGAAACCACTACTCCAACATCTACTTCTACACAAACCACAATAGCAACCACTAGTCTAGGCACGTCCACTCCAACATCTACTCCCACAGAGACACCAACCCCAAATCTGACTACCACAGTAACTTCCAACCCAACACCTACCATCATAGAAACCTCTACTCCAACATCTACTTTTACACAAACCACAACAACAACTACTAGTCTAGGGCCCTCCACTCCAACATCTACTCCCACAGAGACACCAACCCCAACACTAACTACCACAGTAACTCACACACCAACACCTATCATCATAGAAACATCTACTCCAACATCTACTTCTGCACAAACCACAACAACAACCACTAGTATAGGTACGTCCACTCCAACATCTACCACCACAGAGACAGCAACCCCAACCCCGACTACCATAGTGACTTCAACCCCAAAACCGGGCAGCTCAGAAACCTCAACTCCAATATCTTCTACAACACAGACCACTACACCAACACTTAGTCAACGTACCTCCACTCCAATATATACACCCACAGAGAAACCAACCCCAAATCTGACTACCACAATAACTCAAACCCCAACACCCACCATCATAGAAACCACTACTCCAACGTCTACTTCTACACAAACCACAATAGCAACCACTAGTCTAGGCACGTCCACTCCAACATCTACTCCCACAGAGACACCAACCCCAAATCTGACTACCACAGTAACTTCCAACCCAACACCTACCATCATAGAAACCTCTACTCCAACATCTACTTTTACACAAACCACAACAACAACCACTAGTCTAGGGCCCTCCACTCCAACATCTACTCCCACAGAGACACCAACCCCAACTCTAACTACCACAGTAACTCAAACACGAACACCTATCATCATAGAAACCTCTACTCCAACATCTACTTCTACACAAACCGCAACAACAACCACTAGTCTAGGTACGTCCACCCCAACATCTACCACTACAGAGACACCAACCCCAACCCCGACAACCATAGTGACTTCAACCCCAAAACCTAGCAGCCCAGAAACCTCAACATCTTCTATAACACAGACCATTACACCAACACTTAGTCAAGGTACCTCCACTCCAATATCTACACCCACAGAGACACCAACCCCAAATCTGACTACCACAGTAACTCAAACCCCAACACCTACCATCATAGAAACCACTACTCCAACATCTACTTCTACACAAACCACAACAGCAACCACTAGTCTTGGCACGGCCACTCCAACATCTACTCCCACAGAGACACCAACCCCAAATCTGACTACCACAGTAACTTCCAACCTAACACCTACCATCATAGAAACCTTTACTCCAACATCTACTTCTACACAAACCACAACAACCACTAGTGTAGGTACGTCCACTCCAAAATCTACCACCACAGCGACACCAACCCCAACGCCGACCACCATACTGGCTTCAACCCCAACACCTAGCAGCCCAGAAACCTCAACTCCAATATCTACTACAACACAGACCACTACACCACCACTTAGTCAAGGTACCTCCACTCTAATATCTACACCCACAGAGACACCAACCCCAAATCTGACTACCACAGTAACTCAAACCCCAACACCTACCATCATAGAAACTACTACTTCAACATCTACTTCTACACAAACCACAACAACAACCACTAGTGTAAGTACGTCCACTCCAACATCTACCACCACAGAGACACCAACCCCAACCCCGACCAACATAGTTACTTCAACCCTAATACGTAGCAGCCCAGAAACCTCAACTCCAATATTTACAACACAGACCACTACACCAACACTTAGTCAAGGTACCTCCAGTCCAACATCTACACCCACAGAGACACCAACCCCAAATCTGACTACCACAGTAACTCAAACCCCAACACCTACCATCATAGATACCACTACTCCAACATCTACTTCTACACAAACCACAACAGCTACCACTAGTCTAGGCACGTCTACTCCAACATCTACTCCCACAGAGACACCAACCCCAAATCTGACTACCACAGTAACTTCCAACCCAACACCTACCATCATAGAAACCTCTACTCCAACATCTACTTCTACACAAACCACAACAACAACCACTAGTCTAGGTACGTCCACTCCAACATCTACCACCACAGAGACCCCAACCCCAACCCCGACCACCATAGTGACTTCAACATCAAAACCTAGTAGCCCAGAAACCTCAACTCCAATATCTACTACCACACAGACCACAACACCAACACATAGTCAAAGTACCTCCACTCCAACATCTACACCCACAGAGACGCCAACCCCAAATCTGTCTACCACAGTGACTCCCACCCCAACACCTATCATCATAGACACCTCTACTCCAACATCTACTTCTACACAAACCACAACAACAACAACCACTAGTCAAGGTACCTTCACTCCAACATCAGCCACCATAAAGACACCAAGTTCAATGTCCACTATTACAGTGACTTCAACCCCAACACCTTCCACTACTGAGACATTACCATCTATTATCACACAGACCACAATACCAACCATTGTTATAGAGACCTCCACTCCAACATCTACCACCACAGAAAGATCCACCCCAACTCTTAGCACCACTCTGTCTACAACCCCAACACTTACTACCACAGAAGCCTCAACTCCAATTTCTACTACAACACATGTGACAACAGCAACAATTGTTACAGAGACCTCCACTCCAACATCTACATCCACAGAGACACCAACCCCTACCTTGACTACCACAGTTACTTCAACTTCATCACCTACTACTTCAGAGACCTTAACATCTACAACACATACCACACCTGCAACACCAATCATAGACATCTTCACTACTATATCTACTACCACTATCCAGACACCAAGCCCAGTCCCCACCACCACATTGCCTCCAACTCCAACACCTTCCACCACAGAGTCATCAGCCTCAACTTCTACAAGCACACAACTTCCACCCTCATCCTCTCCTATTACTGCCACCACCATCACACTTTCCCCAAGCCCAACCTCCACTGCCATCATCACAGAAACTCCAACCCCATCTGCCACCACTTTAGAGACACTGATCCCAACCTCTACCTCCACTGAAAACACAACTCCAACATCTACTAGCCAAACTCCTTCTAAATCTCCAACGAAACCATCAACACCTGTGACCACTGTGCTCCCCTCTTCCCCACCTACGGAGTCCATCATCATTCCTAGCACTCCTGCTACCACCATAGTAACGTCTAGCACTGCATCGTCACCTGGAACATCACCATCCATCACTTCGTCAGCGGGCAGCACACCCTCTTTACCTCCAGGACCAACACCGGGACCCTCCACCACTGCTTCCGGTAAGTACACATGGGAAGCCACCCCATTCCTCCTCTCTTAGGAGAGTGTCATTTTTGCCAGGGAAGCTTTATAGCCTCACAACTCGAGCTTGGAGTCAGATCTTTGTGGTTCATGACCCTGATCTTGTGCAGTGAGGCAAGTCCCCTGGAAAGTTTGGACCTTCCCTGCCTACTGAGTCAGACCCCTTGGATTGATGAATTGGTTGGAAACAGGTCACTACCTTCCTGTAGATAGACTTTCCTCAGGCAGAGCTACTTCAGCATAGAATGTGTAGCCCAGTACTGAAAGATCTCCATGGGGAAAGTTTGCCCAGGGAGATCTTGGGCTGCATTAGGTCAAGGTTGGTGTAAGGCATAGGGCTACTCTTCTGTCTGGGCATGGCACAAAAGGCCTTGGAGGGTAGCTAGTCTGGCCTTGTCAGATGTCCAGTGTGACAGTCACACAGTGTGCATGGTGGTGTCAAATCCTGGTGAGTAGATATAAGGCTTTGAGACCTCACTATGGCTTCTTGTGCCAGCTGTTCTCTCTCTGTGGCGGGGCCTGCAGGTTGAGCCCTGCGGCATCTGAGATGACCAGTGCCATTGACCCACAATGTTCTTACAGGCACATCTACTTCCTCAAGGACCACAACAGGACAAACTTCACCCACCACAAGACCACCCTCCACATCCACCCCTACATCCTTCACTGTGCCAGTATCTACCACGGAAACCACACCAACTACTTTGGAGACCACCAGGACCTCTTCTTGGGGCACAATCTCCTCAGCCTCCCCAATCACCTCTCCCATCACTGACTGGATCAGTGTTGAGACCTTGGTTACCTGCTGTGTTTTGAATGACACGTACTATGGTCCAGGTATCCATGGTGTTTATGTCTAATGTTTACAAAGCTCAGGCTGTCCCCTGCTCTTTCCAGTGTGTAGAACCAGGGTCAGACCCCAACTTGAAGCTTTCTCAGGAGGCTGGATGCTGGTCATGGGTGGATGTTTTTGTGGCCAGCTTCACATTACTTGGAACATGAACCAGAGGTCAGGGCTCTTCCCAGGCCAGGAGGACAAGTAGGGTGGGTCTTAGTCTGTTTTCTGTTATAACAAAATACTTGAGGTCAAATGATTTATAAATAATAACCGTCAGCTGACAGTTTCAGAGGCTAGGAAGTACAGTAACGTGGCCCTGGCACGTGGCCATCCAGCTGACAGTTCCAGAGGCTAGGAAGTAACATGGCATGGGCACCTGATGGTTTCCTCATTCTGCATCAAAATCCAATGCAGGTATCAGGCCGTGAGAGATGTGCCGTCTCTGGTCTCTCATCCTCTTCTTGCAATGCCACTAATGTCACACTAGGGGGCTTACCCTCATACCTCATCTAACTTTAGTCTTATCCCCTAAGTACCCTCCTCCAGGACAGTGAGTCCCTCTCCAAGGCCTCCATGGAGTCGATTAGTGTGTTTTCGTGGCTAGCTCTGCCTCTGGATGGTGTAAAGACTGCGTCCTTCTCTTCCCTTTTAGGTGAACTGGTCTACAACAATACCCATGGGAACACTTGTTATTATGTGAACTGCTCTGAGGAGTGCAAACTCCAAATCTTCGATTGGCCCTGTCCATCTACTCCCTCAACTTCTACACCATCAACACCAACGTCCTCCCCGACGACCACACCCTCCACACCATCTACCACATCTTCAAAGTCTACACCCTCTACAGCATCATCTACCACATCTTCAAAGTCTACTTCCTCCACAACAAAATCCACATCATCCAAGGCACCAACCACAACCTCCACCCCTGGGTGGTGCCTCGACTTTGATCCTCCTAGACAGGTCAGTGGGTAATATATGGCTTTCTTACCCTGATACTGAACAGGTCCATGTCTGGGCACCTACCATCTAAATGGTACAGGACAACCTTCCTGGTTGTCCAAGATGCCCATGTTCCCACACCCTGCACCTTCTCCAGTAGGGCTGATATTTCCTGAAACATCGTGGGCTTAGGGTCCGCTGGCCTTCTCTCTTTTCCCCATATCCTGACTTTCTTCTCCACATATTAGCCTCCCTCAGCTCCATCCCTGAGTGGGTCCTATCCTCTTGTGTAGACTGGGGAAGCTAAGAGGGGCTGCCTGCTGACTGGTCCATGTCCTGTCTCCTGTAGGAGAATGAGACCTGGTGGCTATGTAACTGTACCATGGCCATTTGCAAGCATGACAACGTAGTGGAGCTTGTGGAGCGGAAGTGCGAACCCCCGCCCATGCCTACCTGCTCCAATGGCCTGAAGCCTGTGCGTGTCATCGACCCTGATGGCTGCTGCTGGCACTGGGAGTGTGACTGTAAGGCCTTACTATCTGAGAATATGCCTGCCAGGGTCCTTTCTTCTTTGGCACCAGTAGCGGCAGGGCTAGCCTCTTGGGAACAGACTTTGATTGCTAAGCACCTGCTGTAGGCTGTGCACAGTCTTAGGGATTTCTCAATACCCTTCATGTCTCCCTGGGTAGGAGGGGGGTAGATAGAAGTCTTGGCTGGTGGGGCAGAGGCACCTTTCTGAGCAAGGATGCTTCTGAGGTTAAGAGTGACCTTCTGACTCTAAAGCAAGGCTTCTCCCTGCAGAAGAGGGGGTGTGTCTCTGGACCAACTGGGAAGATGCTTTTAGAAGATCTGCTCCCACTTGGAAGTCCTTAGTGGCTCAACCCAGGGACCAGGATTTTCAGGCTCCTTTAGTGACTGCTGGCTTTTCCAGCCTGTCCCTTGAATCCTGGATGACATCAACTTACAAATCTTCTTCCACAGGCTACTGCACCGGCTGGGGGGACCCACACTTTGTCACCTTTGATGGGCTCTACTACAGTTACCAGGGTAACTGCTCCTATGTTCTAATGGAGGAGATTACCCCCACGGTGGACAACTTTGGGGTCTACATTGACAACTACCATTGTGATGTCAGTGACGAGGTATCCTGCCCCCGCACACTAATTGTGCGTCACGAGACCCAGGAAGTGCAGATCAGGACTCTGCAGTTGATGCCCATTGTGGTGCAGGTATGTGGCTGGGACTGTTTGGGCACCTAAAGTGTGTCTCTCATGGCCTTATACTGTGGGCCCCAGGCGATCAAGGATTAGGCTGCGGATTCACTGGACCTGGCTGGAACCACGGCACATTAGAGCCTCCTTAGGGTCATGTCAGCTCTTCTCATGGGCTCTCTAAGTGAGCACAGAATCCTCCTCTCTGAGGATAGGTGAACAGGAAGTAGCTGTGTCTAGCTGAGTCTTCTCTATCCTTGGGTCATTGGTGCTATCGATGGAAACATCTGAGGAGCCCCGAACCTTTCGAGGAACCTCAAAGTCCCTGGGAAGCGCCTTCTTTGGTATCTCCTGGGATGAGCTGGGACAAATGCCTGTCCTAGTGTTGTAGAAAGGAAGCAAGAAGGGAAGGGAAAGCCGTAAGGGGCAGGAAAAGCTCCCCTTTCAGATAGGGGTAGAGATAACCCAAGTGCTATCCCCAGGTGCAACTCGGCCTTCTTGATGAGCTATATGACTTCCAGAGAGGGCAATGGTGGGACAGGACAGAGCAGGGCAAGCCTCTTGCTCCAGTCTCAGAGGCCCTCCCTGACTCAGACATGTTGACTACAGGTGCAGATAAACAAGCAGGTAGTGGCTCTGCCCTACCAGAAGTTTGGGGTGCAGGTATACGAATCTGGCATCAACTATGTGGTGGACATCCCCAGGCTGGAAGCTCAGATCACCTACAATGGCCTGTCTTTCTCCATTCGGCTGCCCTACCACCTCTTTGGCAACAACACAAAGGGCCAGTGTGGTGAGTCCCCCTAGCCTCTTTCCTTGGAGGGCAAGACTGGGTGTGAGCATCGGTCACCTAGCTGTGGGTTCTCTACTCCTCCGTGGTCAGGCACTGTGGCATTCTCTTGTGTTTGGTCCCTGTGAGGAGCCATCAGATGTTAGCTTGACTTTGAATTTTCCCTCTTGCCTGGCCAGTGGGGCACAGGGAGCGTGAGCTGGAGAAGGAAAGGTGCCAGGGCCCAACCTGGGTCTGATAGTGTGTCTTGGTGCTGGCTTGACGGGTGGCTTCTCTGTGCACAGGCACCTGCACCAACAGTACTGAAGATGACTGCATCCTGCCCAGCGGGGAGATCATCTCCGACTGTGAGGTTGCAGCTGACGAGTGGTTGGTGAACGACCCCTCCAAGCCACACTGTCCCCACAGCAGCTTCACCACCAAGCGCCCAGCCGTCACGACAGCAGGGTTCTTGCCACCTGAGAACTGCACTGTGTCTCCTATCTGCGAGCTCATCAAGAGCAGGTGAACTGTGGGAAGGAGAGAAGTGGAGGAGGCAAGAGGATCAGGACAAGCCTAGGCGGTTGAGATCCTATCTCAAAAAATATAGGGTCTCAAGAGGTCTCATTTTTCTGTTGTCCCTACTGTCTACCAAGTAGGCAGAGAAACCCGTGTGAGGGCCTGAGAGAGCTGGGGTTGTCACTGTGGATGGGTGTCAGATCACAGGGGGCCTCAGGACCTGGCTTCTGTTTCCCCAGATCCTAGCTATCCTCTTTGACATCCCCTACCCCAGCACTTTTCTTTGCTCTCAGACGTCCCGCGCCTTCTGGCCAGGTGCCGGCTCAAGTAAGCTGGAGACCCTGAGTAGATCGACTGACCAGACAGCATTAGCAGATCAGCGAGGCAGGTTTGAGCTTGGACACGGGTCAGGAACTCCTAAATCTGGTAGCCACAGGAGGACAGTCCCTGTCCCTGTACGTGTTTGAAGTCACAGCTAGGTAACCTGTTGGCAGGATTGTTGGAAGGGGACATCCTGGCAACCAGCGACCGTTCAGGTGTGCAGAGTACATCTCTGCACGTCTGATAACACAGGCGCATGTCCTTCTTTTTCTAGGTGCCAGCACTTTCTGTCTTCTGCTACTGGTAGCGTAGGGCCTCTTTGGCAGGGGCCTCTGAGCAGGCTCCGGTAGGCCAAGGGGAGGCCAGGGAAGCATGTGGAGAGGCTGGGGTGCTGACCAGAGTGTGATCTATCTCTCCCTGCACAGCCTGTTCTCTGAGTGTCACCCCTTCGTGCCTCCCAAGCACTACTATGAAGCCTGTCTGTTTGATAGCTGCTTTGTACCTAACTCTAATTTGGAGTGTGCCAGTGTACAGGCCTATGCAGCCCTCTGTGCCAAGGAAGGCACCTGCGTTGACTGGCGGAACCGTACTGAGGGGGCCTGCTGTAAGTACTTCTCATCTCTCCCCATGTACTGCCTGTGCTGGGGATCTGTGGGTCAGGCATGGGTACCGGGCAACTCTCCATCCTCGGCTTGCATGGGGTGAAGTCCTAGGTAGGAAGGGCTGGGTAGCTTTGTCACTCCAGGGAGGGGCAGTCTTATCTCCCTGGGTATGACCTTCCTGATTCTTGCGCCTGTCCTGCAGCTGTGGAGTGTCCCTCTCACAAGGAGTACAAGGCCTGTGGCCCTGCAGAAGAACCCACCTGCCAGTCCAGGTACGCTGCCTGAAGACTCCCGCTGGTTTCCTAGTCCTGCTCATGCTGTCCAGTCAGCTTTAGCCCCCTGCCAGAGCTGTGCCCCAGCCTATATCGCTCCTTCCTTCTGAACGCGTGTCTTACCATTCCAGCGCCTCCCAGAATTTCACAATCTTGGTGGAAGGCTGCTTCTGTTCTGAAGGCACCACAAAGTTTTCCCCTGCCATTGATGTCTGTGTGAAGACTTGTGGTATGTCTCCTACTCCTACTGCCTCCCTCCTGTGCCTCTGTGTCTACAGGGGCAGGGCCAGAAAGCACATCTCAGTTCCTTATAATATCATGACAGTGTTAACAGAGTTTGTTTCCTCTTTCTTCCTAGGCTGTGTGGGACCTGACAATGTGCCCAGAGAGGTAGGTTTACCCTTGTGCTGGGAGAATTCTCCCTAAAATCCTGAGCCATGTAAGTCCTGGGTGAGATCCACCCACTCAGCCATCTATCCATTGGCGCATCTATCCATCAGTCCATTACCGTGAGCTGTCCGTCATCCATTTAACCATCTATATCATCCATTTATCCATATATCCATCCATCCACTCACCTATCCATTATCCATTCAACCACCCATCAATCTATCCAATACCTATCCATAATCCATTCATCTATTCACACTATTCATCTGTATATCCATTTATTAGCTATCCAAGTAATCACCTATCCACCACCATCTATCTTTCATCCCTTCCGTTATCTATTTGTTATCTATCATCCATTCATCCAGCCACCCAGCCATCATCCACCTATTCATATTCATTAATCTATCCTTCATCCATCCATCCATCCTCCATTCATTCACCAATTCATTATCCATCCACCTATTCCGCACCCACAAATTTATCTAACCACCCATCCATCTGAACCCTTCATCCTCCATCCACCCATCGGCTATCTAGCCATCCAACCATCCACCCATCCAACTACCCATACACTATCCATCTATGCAACCAACCATCAATCCATCATCCATCCATCTTTATATCTTTCCAATCATCTACTCATCCATCAAACCATCCATTCATCTATCCACCCATCCACTCACCAGTCATATACTCTGACTAAACGTGGGCTGGCATGTTGCCTTCTTCGGTCCTGTTTCCTGTGTGTGCCCACAGTCATTGCTTGAATCTTTAGCTCAATTAAAAAAATCAGTAGACATGTGTGGTGTGTCTGTTGCATGCCAGGAGGATGTTGGTGGACGCTGGTGAGCAAGTCACATCTGTGTGATATCAGTGGCCTTGAATGAACAGGTGCTGGGCTGTCCCTGAACCTTCCCTATGAGTTCAGAGGTGATGAGGGATAAGGCTTTCTCATTTGATTCCTCATCTGGCTACCTGGTCCAGCTCTTTCCTCTCTGGCTGGCCATGGACGTGTCATAGTAGGGCTAACGAGGTGTTAATCTGATCTTTTCTCTCTGCAGTTTGGAGAGCACTTTGAGTTTGACTGCCAGGACTGTGTTTGCCTAGAGGGTGGAAAGGGCATTGTCTGCACTCCAAAGATATGTGCTGGGGAGAACCAGACCACATGCGAGGAGGATGGCGAATACCTTGTCGAAGAGCTCGACCCAGATAACAAGTGCTGCAACAAAACCACATGTAGTAAGGACACCCCTGGGGCATGGGAGCTATTCTCATACCACTAGGGCTCCTAGTGTAACTGACTTTGCCTGCTGTAGGTGAGGTTTCCTGCCCCCCACCTCCCCCCCAGCTGGCTAACTCAGGCTATACTCACTTGAGGGCAGATCAGGAGCCCCAACTCCAAGTCCTGGTCTTGGCGGGCTGCACAGGGGCCTGGATTCATGCTCTGCAGTGGGAGGTGGTGCTCTGCCTGTGTGATCTGTCCTGGTCACCACACTCCTGCTCTGCCTTCAGAGTGTGACACCAAACTATGCAGTGCGGAACGTCCCTCTTGCTCGCTGGGATTCGAAGTCAAGAGTGTCACTAAGCCTGGAAAATGCTGTCCAGATTACTCCTGTGGTAAGTGATGCCAGCCGGGCAAGGGAAGGGCACGGGCGGGGCAGGCTGGGAACAAAGGGTCCGTGGAGGGAGCATGCATTCTCCTTGTGTGTCTTTATCATGGCTATGGCTGTGCATCCACCCAGCCCTGAGCCTCCTTAGATTGCGTGCCAGGCTGAAGCTGGATGGCTTCTGATAGATTTTCCCACTCTTTTTCCCCCCCAAGTACCCAAGGGTGTGTGTGTGCACGAGAATGCTGAATACCAGGTGAGTTCTGAACTGGGAGGGTACGGGGGCGGGGGATGGGTGGCGTTGTCTGTCTCCTGAAGAAGGAGTATGCATGGGTGATGGTGTGTGCGGCCCCTTTACTTCTCTGCCTGTTCCTAAAGCCTGGATCTCCAGTGTACTCCACCAAGTGCCAGGAATGTGTATGCACCAACACCACGGACAATGCCACCCGTGTCAACTACATCTCCTGTACACATGTGCCCTGCAAGATCTCCTGCAGCTCTGTAAGTGGGGTTCCTCCCTTCCTTCCCTTTTCCTGCCTCCTTTACCTTCTTCCCATCTTCAAAGAGGCACATGGTTCCATGTTCATTTCCATGATTTGCCTTCAATTAAAAAAAAAATCTTCCTCGCTGAACTGTGCCTCCCACCATGACACTTGTTCCCTGTACGTGTGAGCCTCCCCCCAGGTGGGGTGTTCCAGCGATCCCAGGACCTGGCCGGTTGCAGGGACAAGTCTTTGATCTCAGCCTTGTCCTCTCCTGTGTCCACAGGGCTTTGAGCCTGTGGAAGTCCCTGGGGAGTGCTGCAAGAAATGTCAGCAGACCCACTGCATCATTGAGAAGCCAGACCAGCAGTATATCATCCTGAAGGTGTGTGTTCATGGGCAGGGGGCGGCGCTCTAGGCTCCACCCACGAGCTTGTCAATCACTGGGCTTGAGACATCCCAGGTCCCACAAAACTTGGTTTGAGCGATATATTTGGGTGGCTGCTCCACTTTTGGAGCTCTGAAGTCCAGGGTCAAGGCTGGCGGAAGCGTGAGGAGCCTTCCTACCTCCTCCTCTTCTTCAGGCTCCACATGCCTGGCTGTGTTTGTATCATCTCTGACTTGGTCTCCATGTAGCAGCCTCCCTTCCATCTGAGCCCGTGTGTCCTCTATGTCTCTTGCAAGGAGGATGACCTCATCTACAGATTCTTTCCCTGAGATTTTCAAAGACCTTTTCCCTGTTCAGAGTCACTTCCTAGTTCATAGGTTAGACCTAGGTTAGAGATTTTTATGCTGTGTAACCACAAGCAGGTAAGTTCCTGTCTCCAAGACTCTCTTATGGATGTCACTTGCCCAGGGACTACTGCCTGTGAAGCTGTAGCTCCCTGGTCTCCCGGGGCTGGCCTCTGGGGGCGCACTTGCTCATCCTCATTCTGTGTTGTGTCCACAGCCCGGGGAGATACAGAAAAACCCCAACGACCACTGTACCTTCTTCAGCTGCTTGAAAATCAACAACCAGCTCATCTCCTCTGTCTCCAACATCACCTGCCCCGACTTCAACGCCGATGATTGTGTTCCGGTGAGTGGGACCCCTCTGGCCCTGTGCTCTGCCTGATGCCCCAGCTGCCTGGCTTCCGGGAGGCTTGTTCCATACCCTCCTTATGCACCCCATGAAGGGGCATGCACCTGCTGGGGGTGCTCTGGGCTTCCCTCACACTCTTCTTTCCCTTCAGGGCTCCATCACGTACATGCCAAATGGCTGCTGTAAGACCTGTGAGTACAGCTGGCGGAACAGGGTGGTGGGTGGGCTTTACCAGAGCCTGGGCAGGAAGACACCAGGGCAGGGTACCTCGGGACTCCTGTTCCTACTGTGTCTACTACACTCTGACTCCCCTTCCAGGAAGGGGGCTCATTTCCTTAAAGAACAGTGAGACTGGGAGTTAAGGGCTAGCCATGTTGGGAGAGAGGAGAAAAACCAGCGCAGTAGAGGAAGAGGGGGAGGAAGAGGGAGGGGATAGGGAAGGGGAGGGAGAAAGGGAAAAAGAGGGGGAGGGAGAGAGAAAAGGAGATCACGAGCCAGTCTTAGACCATCCCTGCACTTGCATCTCCTCCACAGGTATTCCTAAAAACAACACCGCAGTCCCTTGCTCGCTCATCCGTGTCAAGAAGGAGATTTCCTACAATGGCTGCTCCAAGAATGTCTCCATGAACTACTGCTCGGGCTCCTGTGGGACTTTCGCCATGTGAGTCTCAGGCTGCAAGTGTGAGATGGAGGGTGGAGGGGCTCGAGGACAGGCCCCGGTGGCGGAGGGAGGATGCTGCTGCTGCTCCTAGGGAGGCTGAACTCATTCCGCCCCTCCTGTCCCCAGGTACTCTGCCCAGGTCCAGGATCTGGATCACAGGTGCTCTTGCTGCAAGGAGGAGAGGACCAGCGAGCGCCAGGTGACCCTGGAATGTCCAGATGGCAGTCAGCTGAGCCATACTTACACACACATTGAGAGCTGTCTCTGCCAGGACACCGTCTGTGCGCTCCCCCAGGCCCAGCAAGTCCGCGTCAGGCGTTCCAGTCCCCGACTTCTGGGAAGGAAGTGAATGGGTTCTACCGTGTTCCTCCCTTCCCGTCTCGCACCATGCTGCTGACCCTCTGAGCTCCCTCCTCTTCTAGCTTGGCTTCTTCTCTGCCGATATTTATTTTCAGAGTTTCTGTTCCATCCCTTGCTTTATGATAATAAACTCAGGCATAGCCAATCTGGTCGTGTGGTTTAAGTTGGTTCTGCAAGGATCTGAACTGCCCACTACGTGGATGGCTTCTGGGAACCGGGTGGGGCTAGATAGTTTGGAGAGGGTTCCTTAGAATCCCTGGGGTCCAGTTACTGTTTTTTTTTTTTTGCACACCAGACATGATGCGACTCTACCACCTGTATTACTTACTCTTAGGCTCTGGGCTCTGTTTGTTCAGAGCACTGGGTGAACAAAGGCCCCTTCCCACCATGAGTTCCATTCCAGGGTTTTCCACTATGGGTGAGACTTTTGTCCACATGCTGAGGGACAGTGTGTGTTCAGGTGTGAGTACACAGGTGTGCGTGCACACAAATGTATTTCCATCTGTCTGTGCCTATGGGGTGTGTGTGTGTGTGTGTGTGTGTGTGTCACTGAGGAGGCCTCAGGCCACAGACTGGGGGCAGGGCATTGGCTTCTGCCACAAACTGAAAGAAAAGCAGTGGTGACTTTGTGGACTGTATTGTTTACATCCGTGTCACTGTCATAAATATACCCAACTAGAAACAGTGTGAAGGAAGGGCGGTTTATTTGGCTCAGGGTTTTGAGGGATCAGTCCATGGTTGCGTGACCCCATGCATTTGAATAGAACACCAAAGCTGCAGGAACTTGTGGCAGAGACAAGTTGTTCACAGCATGGTTCGCCAGGAAGCTGACTGAGCATGACTGGCAAAGGCCAGGGATAACATCCTGCAAGGACTCAGCCCTTTTAACCTTTAGCCAGGTCTCACCCCCCCACCGAGAGTCTCCCCGGATAACACCCTTACCGTCCAATCTGTGAGCCATTTTGGTGGGGGTGGGGGATATATACTTCATAAACGAACTATAACATGGTTTCTCGAAGACTGCTGGGCAGAGCTGACAAACCACATGAATCTACAGCATGAGCTTATGTGGTCCTTTGGAAAATTATCAATCCCCTTACTTGCTCTTGTATTGGTTCAAACATAGGGTGTATGTGTGTGTGTGGGTGCTGTGTATGAAGCCCCTTTCCTACCCAGAGTCCCAGTAATGATGAATAGGGTTTAATTTTAAAATCTAAGGATTAATATTTAAAAGAAAACTTTCTAACGTGTATTAGTCAGGATGGACTCTGTCATGCAGCAATGACAAAAACTGCCAAGGCCTGTCTTCCTCATGCCTCCTGCTTGCTGCTTGGCTGGCATTCTACTGCACACCTCAGCTGCCCAGAACCTGGGGTGACAGGGCTGCTCTCATCTCCAAGGTCTCTTCTGTTGTGGTGGCTAAAACCAGCTCAGAAGTCTTCCCAGAATCCATCCTGGTCCAGCTCAGCACAGACTTTGGATGCTGGGATTGTAATACTACCATTGAGCAGCTGGGGGAGCCAGAGACTCTTGGTGGCTGGCCAGTGATGGCTCTTGGATGGATGCGAGCAAAAAACACAAATGGTCTCCCTTTGGGAAGAGAAGTGTGTGTGTGTGTGTGTGTGTGTGTGTGTGTGTGTGTGTGTGTGTATGTGTGTGTGTGTGTGTGTGTGTACTTACATAGAGACCAGAAGAGAGTATTCAATCTCCTGGAGCTAGAGTTACAGGCAGTTATATGCATGTGCACGCACATGTGTGTGGGTGCATGTGGAGGGCAGCAGTCAACTGTGGGTACCATTCTTTAGGTGCTATCAACCTTGTTTTTGAGACAGAGTCTCTTTGTTGAACTTGGGGCATACTGCTTAGGTTAGGCTCTCTGTATGGGGTCTCCTGTCTCTCCCTCCCCAGCTTTTTGCACATGTTTTCTAGGGATTAAATATTAGATTATATTTAATGCTCGATCTGTCTTCATGTCTTTATGCTTGATCTACAAGTGCTTTACTGACCGAGCCATCTCTTCAAGGTTGGTGGTATCTGTTAGTTTCTACAAATGTAAAACAATATCATATTACTTGAATAGCTGCAAATGCAATAAACATAGAACATTTGAGGTACAGTAAGATCGTTTGGGGTTAAAGACAACTGCCACCAAGCCTGGAAACCTGAATTAAATTTCTGGGACCCACATAGGGAAAGGAGAGGACTGACTTCCAGGAACTGGCCTCTGACCTCGACACATGGTACATGTGCATCTCCCTATGCAAAACAAACAAACAAAACAAATGAATGGATGTGGCAAACACCTAGGAAGCACTAGATTTGGGATTAAGGCTATGTCTGTGGCAGGACTGAAAGGGGCAGCTGTGAGTATATTGTCCAATTCCCTCGAGGAAGAACATTTGAAAGTAAAACTGGCTACATGCTAATCTGAGGGGTGGTGGGGTCCATATTGCTGTCCTATGCCCTTACTGTTTAAAGTCACTCATCATAAAAACCAGCTAGGGCACCAGAGAGTGTGTACTGGGCCATGAGCAAGGAGAGCTAGAGAGTATACTGGGCTACCAGCAGAGGGAGCTAGAGTGTATACTGGGCTACCAGCAGGGGGAGCTAAAGTGTATACTGGGCTACCAGCAGGGGGAGCTAGAGTGTATACTGGGCTACCAGCAGGGGGAGTAAGAGTGTATACTGGGCTACCAGCAGGGGGAGTAAGAGTGTATACTGGACCACTAGCAGAGGGGTTCCTGAGGCCACATGGTCTTGAGCCACTTACTTTTCTTCTCTGCTTGACCAGGTCTTGTCACTCTGATCATTCTGCCACCCCACCCCACCCCAACTCCTCCATGGCCTGTGCTACACAGATTGAGTCTGACATCAATGGCCAGAAAACAGAGCTGAGTAGCTGAACAGGACCTGTGTGGAGGGAATGGGCTCTGAAAACTTCACAGTGTTGGCAGACCATGGAGAGAGCCCCAGATGTGCGGTAGGAATGGTGTGTCCATTGAGCCACCATGTGTGAGCCACCGATCCTCTGCAAGAACATTGAGCCATTTATCCGTCCTCTAAAGACATGGTCTTTAAAAAGGATTAAATCACACAGAGGTCATTACGATGGGGCCTAATGTAATTGGCTATGGATCAAGAGGAGATCAGGACATAGACACATAGTATGACCACACGAGGAGAGGAGCCTTAGGAAGAGCCAGCCTTGTGACTCTGCACCCTGGCTGGTGCTTTGCCACTGTGTCCTTAGCTGTTTGGGGCAGGGAACCTGGGTGCATGGAGCATGGCCCAGAAGAAGTCATGGAGATGTCGAGCTGATACCGCCAGCATTCCTATATAGGGAAATTGCACCTTTGAGGACCCAGAAAGGACAACAGAAGTGTCCTTAGTATAGGGATTCTTTCCAGATCTTATACGGAGGGCACAATACTCAAAACCTTCACTTACTTTCCAGTGACATTGTCTAGGGGGTTGTCATAGATACAAGACTGGGTGAACCAGCAACCCCACTGGCACTGAGCTAAAAGATGGCAGGGGCAGCCTGGCCACCCTGGCTCGTGGGCCCCTATTGTTACCCCAATGGCATCAAGGTCCTTGAAGCCACGGATGTGTTCTGAAAGCCTACTGTGTTATTCTACTGTTCATAGCTTTAGCTCGGTCCCTGGTCTTTGGGACATCCGGCCAGCTCAGGATGTTGTTCCCCACCCCCACTCCCACCTTGCAAATGGGGTTGTGATCAGAACCATGCCCACCTCATGAATCTGGGGGAGGGTGTCATTCTCTGTCTCAAGCCCAAGCCAAGGCTGACCCAGGCATGTCTTGGCAGGCAGGCCCTTTCCACACAACCTCTTTCTCTCCACAGGCTTTTGCTAACATGGCCCAACCAGATGGCTTCTTTTGCCCATCGTTGAAAGGTGTTCTTTTGGTGGCATGCCTGGTGGCATCCTCTCATCTCAGGGACTGTGACCAGGACACAAAATGCTGCTTACTGGTGCTTGGCAATTTCCTGGGTCAGTGAGTCACCTGATTGTCTTCACACTCCTGTGTGAATGAGGGTGGTTCCTACTAGCCCAGAAACACAGAGAGTGGCTTAGCCATCATTCTGTACTTGTGATCGTTGCTCTTCGACTTTAGGGGGTCTCCAGAGAGCTACAGGGTTCCAAGGTCATCCAACCCCTTGGTCCTGGGCTCTGTGCCTTGTTCCCAGGCGAAGGCAGTTGTAACGGCAGCCCTTTCTTTCACTGTTGGCTCCGTTGATCTAGCTTCAGCCTCTGGGTAGAGGGATAGGGATAAAGTGGTCAGTTTGGGTCATGCCGGTGCTTCCAACAGCTGTTCCTTCATAGGAGCTGAAGCAGGCTCTGCACGTGGACACTGGGAACTGCGGTCACAGGACAAGTGTGTGGCCAGTCCTGCAAGAGGGAACCTGAGACCAGTTAGGTCAGGTTAACAGGGGGGAGACAGAGCCTTCCTTCTGGCCTATCTAGCTAGCCATGGCAACCTTCTTACCTTGCACTGAACACTGCGGAATACACTGACCCTACACGGGCCACTCTGCTTGCGTGTCATGGTTTCAGCTCAGAGGGACTGTCATTTCACAGGAAGTCCTAGGGAAATTTGGATCATGGCCTATGCTGCCCAGACTGTCCCCAGTGAGAACAGAGGGCCCCAGTGCAAACTGAACTTGAGTGCCTTTGAGATGCCTCCCTGATGAGACTAAGTCATGGGTGGCAGGCAGAGGAATATGCTGTACTGGACAGCAACCTCCTGCTGTCCTTGAGGTCAGAGCCCAAGTACAACTCAGATCTAAAACAACAGAACTCAATCAAACTACAGGCCCTCAGAGTTCTGGCCAGATGTACGTGTGTGTGTGTGTGTGTGTGTGTGTGTGTGTGTGTGTGTGTGTAGGGGTAATGGGCCATGCTCCAGGCCACAGAAGTTTACCTAAGAACGGAGAGGGCTTCCTGTTCCCACTCCTGTAGCAGTGCCACTGTGAAGACTAGTGATAAGCCAGGTCAGAGTCCAGGGTGCCTGGTTCACTCTTGGAGCCCACGAGTCCCTCTCCTGGGGCCAGTCATGCTCTTTTGACCCTGATAGGGGTGAGGCCACCACTACCATATGGCCAAGCCAGGGAGGTGCTAACTCCAC